ACTTTTAATGATACCTGTATCTAAATATTCGTGACTGCCACTATGACTGTTTGGTAAATTCTAGGAAATGGCCGTTGGGTTCAACTGAAACAGCCGAGCATATGAACATGTATGTATTTTTGTAGTTCCGTGAGTGGCAAATGAAGAAAAACCATATTGAATCCTCACTCATGAATTTTTTTAAAAGACCTCATACAATGCATGAAAAAACGTTTAAATTATGCCTTAAATTTCAAAAATTTCAATGTTGATTCGGTTTCTCAACATCCATAAACGAGTTCTTCAATGCCTTCTTTGTTGAATCTTTCGAAAGATTCTAAAAATGAATTTCAAACAGTAAATAATTTTTCATATAGTTGTAAATTCACTTCGATTAAAATACCTTCAGTCACATATTCAGTTCAGTATAACCTCAATCTTTGCTAGTTGCAATTCCTACCTATATATTTTCAATCAAGAAGGGGTCTTACTGAATGAAAGTATACTATTGCCGTGGCTTTTCTCTTTTTTTACTTTTGAGCTTGGATTTTATCAATCAACATTAAAAAAATTATTTCATTCCATTTTCGAAATAATATATTCTGCGTGTTTTCTCTCCCGCAATTAATGATTCGGTATTCGTCCTGGATAATTTCATATCATACCGGGTGTCCCAGAAAACACCGAAATAGTATTTTTTGTACAGGGGACTTCAAATGTTACTTATTCATTCGTTACACCTCGAATTCCACTGTTCAAAACTCATTAGCAGAACTGCATTCATGTGGAATAAACTTCCTGAGAATGTTTTTCCAAATGGTTTAAATCTCCAGCGATTCAAATCCAATGTGAAACGCTAATTTCATTCAGGCACCGCTCTTAGAGCGCCCTGAAGATTTTTCTGTAGTGCTTTGTTATGTCCTTCAAAAAGAAATTTATTGTATCTATATGCAAGAGACATTACATCAAAGGCAGAGCAACTAAGCAAAAAGATAGGTACCGTGAGTTGCATTGATGACTAGGTTTATCAACTTTCTTCTATAAAATAATCAATGTAAATTGATTTTCCTACTTTTTTCATTATTTGCTCACCTACAAAACTTATGCTTCGTCTCATACTGAAAAAAGATTTTGACACATTTTTTGTTGCATAATTATAAATGACATCAATTTCCTGCCGTCAAAGCGAATAAAAACACGAGCATAAGAAGCTGTAATTGAAAATTAGTTTAAGCCTGTGGCAAATAATGGAAAACAGGAAATTATAACGGTTAGACGTATTTTTTAATATGCGGTTTTGTTATCATTTTCTTATTTCCTTATTACGACCATGGGTGGTATCATGAAGAACAATAATATAGCGGTTACCTGTTACTTCCTCAAGATATGAATGTTTCCACATAGTAAAGGAGTAGATTTGGTAAACAATTCATAAAATTCTGAACAATGGAATACGAATAGGTATACTCACAGATTTCAATAACTTTGAGGAATAGGGTGTTAAGAGTTGGAAATCAAATTAGTTCACATAAATAAATACGTTGGTGAACTCGCATTCCAAAAAATGGAATGAAATCTAGTGAACATCACAAACGGAGGAACTCCATAGGGGATGTTTTCAATGGTGATATTTGTCAGATATAGTTGTTGTTCTTCAAAATCTGGTTCAACGAGAAAAAACCCAGTGATCTTCAATCAAATCATTTGGAAATTTCAGTTCGTTTATGTTTATGAATTAGCAGAGCTATCGAACCATTGATCACTGAGTTAGCTTGCTATTGTGAGCATTCATTGTAGAATCTCATATTTGAGAACCATACTGGTTTATTCCCAAGTTGAATCATCTACTGGGTGCTATATTCCATGCCAAAGAGGTTGAGGTGTGAACTTCATGCAGCCAGACACAGTCAAAAAATATTTGGTACCAAATGCCTGGCTTAGTACACTTATTCCAGAGATTGAATACAATCAATCGACCAATTCAACAAAGAGCAGAATCTTCACATCAGAAATCTATTTTAGTTCAGGTTGATTCATGTACAATCGGATTTCTGGGTACCTTCGAGGAAATTGGCACTTCTGAGGGATTCCTATCTTCAATAATTTCAGAGAAAAGACCCCAAAACTAACAGTTTCATTTGCATTTTCCTGAGTACTGATTCAGTTAACAGATACTCCTTTATTCATTTTTGATTCTTTCTACCAATCTTTCTAAGCTGAGATACGTATTTGCTTGCATTTGTTCTGGTACTCCTTTCTGGCTTCATCATATTTCACAATGGAATATCAAAGTTACTTTAATTCCTCTGCTACTTCTTTCTTCATTTACTACTCCAACTTGTTCAAAATAAAAGATTACCAAGATTTTACAAGAGTTGATCATATGTTTGGATGTATATTATTATTGTAAGACTATAACTCTGTTCCTGTTGAATTGTCGAAAATACTATTGAAAGACCTCAATGTTTCAACGATAAATTTCTTATTTAGCAAAACAATGAGAGGAACCCGCATAAATATTCAAAGATGAAAAGTTCAAATATGAAAAATCTAAGCTACGAGCATACAAAAACAATTCCTGGCCAAAACACGTTTTTCTATAATAAAAATAATCATCCAGTGGAAAAAAACAATGAATTGAATGTTGAGCTAACGGTAATATGTCTCAGGTTTGTTCAATCGTTGATTGATCTATCTGAAATCTGATACTTTCAAACTTGATCCTTTCCAATCAATAGCCTAATAATTATCGCTCTTTCCACGCATATTATTTGGACTAATTGGTTCTAAAATAACGAAATAATACTTGAAGAGGTCCGGCAATGTTTGTTGTTAGTTCAATATCGTTATTTGTATGACTAGACTGTCGACAAATGTGTTCCAATATCGACATTTTTCAAATAAACTGCAGAATGGATGTTGGTATTCCTTTTTTTTTGTACACATCGGTACGAGTAACAACGTGTGTTAACTTCACTATATATTGATGAAGTTGTGGTCTATGACGGAAGTTTCCAAAGATAACTTTGTTTCCAGAAATGATAATTCAGTCGATACGAAACTCGTGTGAAATTGTGGTCAAACGTTGGACTGATAATGGACGATTATAATGATTTCATTATGATGGCAATTTTATAGTAAGTCCAGAAGTAGGTGTATATATTTTAGATCTATTTTATTATTGAAGAAAAAATTTATTTCCTGTGAACATTTACCTTCGAAATGACAAAAATAGATGAATTGGAGAAGGTTTTTTAATTATTACACCATCAACTTGTTCTATATTGAAACCAAATGAAAACTGAGTTCAAAACAGAAAACACTGCAAACTTTTTGCTGACTTTTCAATGATATTTCGATGACTTTTCACACTATTCGTCTCTAGAGACACGTTTGATTCAATTTTTTGATATTTCTCTCACTCCCAAACTGCTACTTTCACCACTATTAGTTGATTTAAATCTTTCAAAAAGACAATTAGTCACAGCTCACAAAATAACTGACAACTACACCTCATACCACTCCAAAGAACTAATAGTTGCATCTATTTGTACTAGTAATCAGGTTGCAACATTTTGTTTAAACTTGTTAAGATCTATGGTGAGTTGCTCTGTACCGTGATTCAGGTTTGAACAAAAATTCTACAATGAATCTTGGATGGAAAAATAATGTTTCACGCTGGTAATTATCGTTAGTGTATGTGGTTGTTGATAACTTGTCTTGAATGAGAATCGATAACCAGTAATATCAAAGTGATTCGGATCATTTGTCACATTTTATTTTTTCTAAAATTCAAAAAGCTATCAAAAATTGATAACAAGTTGTGCAAAGTTCATGTGCTTTCGTCGTGTCTGATGCAACTTAATGGAATATCCATATATGCGAAAATGTAATTTGTGAATGTAAGTAATACACACTTTAAAGTAGCGCTATATTGAATGTGTGTTTTTTTTAATCGAAATGGGGCTATTAAAAATGATCACAAGTTGTGCAAAGTTCGTTTGTTTTCAACCGTGTCTGAATTAACTTCATGAAATATCTATTATTAAAAAAGTGGTTTGTGCCGGAAAGTAATATTACATATTCTTGAAAAGGTAGTTTTTGCCTAAAAGCAATAGACACTTTGAAGTAGCGCTATATTAAACGTGTGTTTTTCTACAAAATCGAAATGAGGCTATTAAAAATTGATCACAAGTGGTGCCTAGTTTTTTATCTTCGACCCTGAGGTAACTTCTATTATTGCAAAGCTGGTTTGTGTCGAAGAAAAGTAATACACACTTCAAGGTAGCGCTACATCAAATATGTGTTTTTCCACAAAATCGAAGTAGGGCTGTTGAAAATTTTTCACAAGTGGTGCAAAGTTCATATATTTGACCCTATAGTAGTCATGAAGTATCTATTTTTGGAAAGGTAGTTTGTGTCTGAAAGTAATACACACTTCAAAGTAGCACTACAATAAATGTGTGTTTTTCCACAAAATTGAAACAGAGCTATTAAAAATTGATCAAAAGTAGTGCAAATTTCATTTGAGATCTGCTGCAGAAAAGAATAGGTACCAACTTATTTCAATATTTTCAGTGCAGAATCAATGAGTTGGCTAAATAATTTTATTGATTTATAAAATTTGAACCTCTGAGACCTGATTTTGAATCAGGTGACTACTATTATTAAGAAAAAAATAGGATGTCACTTATGATTTGAAAGTAAAACATCCATGTTTTCTCTTGATGTAAGAGTTCGCCTGAGACAAAAATAAGGACCCTGGCGGTAAAAGAATCCATTTCAGGACACAAACGAAATGTTTCATCGTCCTGAAGATGACTAAAACGCGCTTCAAAAGATAGTATTTTATCTGATGCAACTTAATGGAATATCCATATATGCGAAAATGTAATTTGTGAATGTAAGTAATACACACTTTAAAGTAGCGCTATATTGAATGTGTGCAATATCAGTGATTTCAAAAATATTTAGTTAATTCTCAGTATTACCCGCTGATCAAGGATCTGTTGTGGACTTACCTCCAGGAAACCTATGAGGAAATATCCTCCCATGCCTCGACAACAGCCACGGGTACAAGGGATAACTGTCTCTGGGCTGGGTATGCTGCATGGGTGACGGTTGTCCTGGAAACCCATGCTGTCCGGAGCTCAATGCCGCCGCTAAAGCGGCCCCTTGGAAATGGGCCGCCAACGCGAAAGGATGCTGCCCATGGTTGTGCATCATCTCAGGCTGCAGAAACCCGTTTTTCGGCACCAAGTTAGGATCGTACGTAGGATTAGGCCTCACTAAGGTATGTGCGGGGATACCAGGAACCATGATGGGAGGCTGAGGGGATCCGTCGGAAGATCTTTGCGGGGAGTAGTGCTTGGGAGAACCGTTGAGTCTATTTTCCGCGTCACTGCTTGGCGATAAGGGGGCTGAACTCTCTGAGTAATGCACAGGGGAGAGCTGGGGGCTTCCCTGACTTGCCCCGCCGACTATGGAGTCGATGGAGAAGCCTATCTTGGGCTTCGAAGGCACTGCCACTATAGGTGTCGGTGCCAAAGGCATCATGGTTGGATTCACCGACGAGACCAGCGGGAAATACTGTCGCGCTAACATTTGAAGCTGTACCAAAGCATGCTCCAAGTAAAGTCCGACGTCATCATCACAACACTCTAGATGTTTACACCCGATTGTCACTACACATCAGCGCGAGGTCACTAGCACTAGCACAAGACGGAAAGGGTGCTATGCGATTATTGGGGAGTTAAAAAGTTCGACGTGCTACCGCTCACAAATCTCTTGCATTAATAAGCTGGATAAGTGTTGTCGCTGTAGCGCTCGGTGGTGGGGACGGTCCGGCCGCTAGTGGGGAGGCTCCCTGCGAGGATTGGCGTTGCCAGCGAATCCCGGCTGCGCTTCCATTGGTGCAGAGGCGCAATACTAATGGTATTAAGGAGCTGCGCCGCGCCCCTTATTTGCGCCTCCTTATCGCCGGGGAAAAACTCGTTTAGCGCGATAAATGTTGGGATATTACACTTATGGCATAGTTAGCTTAAGACAAACAGGTTACGGCTATTCGTTGGGGTTTTTTCACGGATCAAGACGGCTAGTTGACAGTCGCATATTTGTTTTTGAAGTTATCGACGCCTTTGGATGCGCGCGCAGTCGCGGAGGGCGTGGTGTTTGGCCGTTAAATTATTTTAATTGAGGTGTCGACAATGAGGCTTGGGGTTTTTATAGCTTCACCTACTCGGAGTTTTAATGCAATTATAAAATTTCCTCGCGGGGGAAATTTAATTGCTTCATTTAATGTCAACTCCTCGGACGATTGAATAATCGATTTAATATCAGTCGCTTACTTGATGGCTTGTGTCAAGTGGGCTGCTCATTATTACGGGAAAAACTGCCTCAAAGTTGATTGATAATGTTGAGTCTATAAGCTTTCACAATGCATGTAATTTATTTTGTTGTGTAGCGTTTCGAGAATTGGTTATTTCTAATAGTTGGTGACGGTCGTAAAGTTTAATGGATTTCGCTTCTCAAATTTGATATTTTCCGTAATTGATCATGACCATAAAACTTTGTGAGGCAATGAAATCTGCCATTGTATACCAGCAGAATCGATTTTGAATATTCATTATTCAAAAATTTAAGTGTTGGCGTTGGTAAATTAACCTGGATAATTGTGTTCTACAGAAAGACACAAGACACAATGTCAATTATATAGGTACAGTTAAAATTTTGGAATAAACAGAACATTTCTACAAGAATCACAGGCACTCTACTATTGCCTAAGTAACTAACCGTGCTGAATGTTGAATGAAGACATCAGTCAGTCGTTGAACCTCAAGGATCTATTCATGCAGAACTTGTTATGTATTCCAAATTCATATGAAATAAAATCGACCTTCATTTACCAAAATTTTGCATAATTCTGCTAATTGAACATTATTCAATGTGAAGGCATAGAAATATCCTGTCTACCATTTCCGCTCTTGCAAATTCAGAGACATAATTTACCCTAAAAATATTGACATTAATCCTGTTAACATTCCAATCAGAAACTATTTCTGATGTGTCGTCTGCATACGTTGTACCAGAAGTTACAGAATTGAGTTGAAGGGCGCAAACATATAACACAAGCAATATAGGTTCCAGTACCGATCCCTGAGGAACCTCAAGATCTGAAAGCTGATAGGAAAGTCTATGCTCATTTATAGTTTCGTAAAACGATTTAAAATGTGGGTTTCAGATTATTTGTTGATTTCATTCGCATATTGAAAATGTAAAAATGTTGATTCTATATTAGTTTACTGTCATCGTTATCTTCAAGTCAGACGATTCAACATCTTTTGGAAATTGTTGAAAAACAATTATCTATACTACATCGTTTGTTGAAATTCCTTTCATTAACAGAGGCGTAGTAGAAAATATTTATGTGGGAATTTTTTTTTGTCTTTTTTTTTCACTACTGATGCAAGAAGAGTGTGAATCTTTGAAAATAAATGGAATAATTGGATATGTCAATTCAAAAAATCTCTAGGTATTGCAGAAATTATTTCAAGCGTTAGAAACTGGAAGGAAAAATCTATGTGAAAAATTCTTTTTGTTTTTTTTTTTAACTACTGATGCAAGAAGAGTGTGAATCTTTGAAAATAAATGGAATAATTAGATATGTCAATTCAAAAAATCTCTAGGTATTGCAGAAATTATTTCAAGCGTTAGAAACTGGAAGGAAAAATCTATGTGAAACAACTACTTTGGGAAAAACAGTTTCTTGGCTTCCTACTCTTTTATTATCATGGATACAAAAAATTTTAAAAACCTCCGAAAAAAGGAATGAAGTACTCATTTTCATGAAACTTCCACGAAGATTTCTAGATCATGAATAAACATCTCTTCCAGATGAAAACTGAAAGGAAAAGTAGGATTTGGGATAACCGTAATAAAATTGATGTATAGATATCATTCACAAAAATGCTACACACCGTAATATATGGAAAGTATTGATAGAAAAATTCCACTCACGTAGGAAACAATCAAGCTCTTGATGAACTTCGATGTTTCGGAAAATAACACTTGTCTTCATCTCCTCATCAGCACAATTTCAAGTACGAAGCACGCATTTCTTTCTAAAAACTTCGACTTGATATCAGTTTCATTAGGGATTTTTGGAAAAGTAACTAAATGACAGAGAGTGATTTTGCTGTAATTCAATGTTCCTATTCTTCAAAGGAATTATTACTGTTGGACTTCTTTTTCCAGTGCGTAGAAGTTAGTTATTTTCTTTCATTATTTGGAAGTTTCCTATAATTTTTTGTATAAAGATGGAGAAGAAAAAAGGCAAAAAGCATTTTTCCCTGAAAAATAATTCTTTGATATAAATGAATCATTCAACCTATTATATCCGGCTGTAAGAAGTTTGATATATATAAATAATAATGAATATATACCTATCAAATAATAAAAACACAATTTGAAACAATACAAGCGATATTCTTCATTTGGACGTCAACATGTAGGTAACCAAATATACGGTTTTTTGATTCATTCTGCAAATTCTATTTATGTACACTAGAACGGGTATCGGTTCTAATACCGTACCTTGTGGTGCACCATTTAGTTTTAAAGAACATTGAGTTATGCCAACTTTCACTCGTCGTACCTAAGTGGTAGAGCCTATATACGAACATCGGCAATTTTAATTTTTGGCGACTACTTCAACAACAACCACGGTAAGTCTCGATCTGAAAAGATATCATTTCTGTTCCCCAAAATAGAAAACTTTCATCAAATTCAACTGACCTCGTAGGTCTCATCGTTTCCGAGATAGCAATAGTGGAATCAGCTGAAAAATCGGACTGTATATTTTGAATTTCATATTCAATTATTCTATATGACATTTTCGTCAGGAAGTTATCCATAGTTACGAATAGTATTTAGCAGTTTTTGCTGTTGCAATCAAATTAAGTGAAGAAAACTCTTGCTTTTGGATTTTTCCATCATGAATTCAAAAGTAGACTGGCGATGAACTATCCCTGAACTTGACATTCAGCAAGTTTTATGATTTCTAATATTTTTCTCAGATTTTCAAAACAAAGGATAGATTTTTATCAGTATAAATGACACATTTATGGGGTAGAAGTTGGGAATGAGGGACGCTATTGAAAATTATAAACAGTAGAGGTCTTTGTACAGATCCTTGTGGAACGCCATTATCAATATGCTCTGAGTTAGATATACTTTCGACTTCTAGATTAACAGTTGTTATGGATTGTTCAAATACTCTCCTCCTTACATCTTTTTTTGAAACATCATGATTAAGTGAGTCAAACCGACAGACATCTTTATTTTGGAAAGCGCTTCTCTCCTTCGTCTACAACATAGTAATGTTTCATATAAATAAATACATAATTGTAGAACAACTTGCTCGATAAACCATGCGAAAAGTAGGATGAGTGAATATAAATACTGGGTGTGGCCCAAGAAACATGAATTCGCGCAAATTTTAAAATCTATCACTTATTTTAACCATTTCAGCCGTTAGAGAAGGATACGGATGAAATTATACCCTGTCAAACCTATCCAACTGTAACATGTTCCATAGTCGAGCGTGGATTTATTAGAAAAGGGTTTTATTGGATCGATCCAAGAATATTGCATTGTATTTGTTCGAAACAAGTGTGAAAAACACTTATCGAGTACTCATTTATTCACCTTTATCTTCTCATTACATTGTTCTGTATTCTTCTTTCCTACGTGAATAAATATTATTATTATTACTCACTGAAATGGTTTCAAATGTGTACCTACTCCTACTGTACCTACTCTGTTTGCTGATAGCAAAATATTTGCGTTCGGGTCGATTTCTACCTGCAGTGGCGTACATTTGGTTGTTTAATCAAAAATACCCCAGTTGAAACTGATACCTACGTGTATTTATTTATATACAGTTGATATTGTTATAACGTTTTGATTTGAAGTATTCACAAAATAATCGATAGGAATGCTTATTGAGGAAGATAATGGGTATAAGCAAAAATTGTGGTTTTTCATCATCAGATAAATCCGGTGAATCTTCGTTGAACTTTGTGATTTGAGATTCTTCATTTTCCCATATATTTAAGGGCTTCTTAAAAAATAAGTTGACATCTTTCAATGTATATGTCGTGTTTTTTGATACACCGGATCCCTTTATTTGAGAACTTATTACCATTATTTGAGAATCATATTTATATCAAATGGTATGTTTTTTGCCGAGGCCACCAAATGATATCCACTTTTCTCCATGAATTAGTTGGTATAGTGTACCCCAAAGCTCAATTCTAGGTCCACTATTATTCCTAATTTACATAAACGATATCAAATATGTCTTAGCTCATGGCTCCCTAGTACTCTACGCTGACGATACGACTTTTACAAATTCCGAGAGAAACTTTTAATCTTCAAAGGATAGTATGGTCATTACAATGAGTTTTTGGGAGTATACCTGGACCCCACACTGAAGTTTGACTGTCATGTAAATTATATAGCCAGTAAAGTTAATAAAAGCATTTACCTTCTGAAACATCTTAGATCAGTAGTGGACCAGAAAGTTTGTGTGATGACTTCTAGAGTATTTGACCTTCAGAGAAGAGCAATGGGTGTACTTTCCTACGTGGGGTATCGAGGCGATGTTATTGAGCTCAAAATCATGACCATTCCATCAAGATACATATACGAATCCATCGTCTATATGCGTGAAAATATCAGTCAATACAAAACTCAAAGCAATGGACATAATTACTACACAA